ATATATATATAATGCAAAGTATTTAGATATGAAAAAAAGTACATAGATTGGTAAAAAATGAAGTGGTATTACACCAAAAGAAGACAAGCGGTCATGTCCCGATAAGTACAAAATATTAGTTTTCTTCCTCTCACTTTAAGCTCCTAAAGCCTTGCCATAACCTATTACATTGAAATAATAAGAATGGTAGAGATATGAAATAAAATAATTATAAATAAATTTATAGAATTTTGTTATTGATGCGTCATCAACTAATTTTTCCGTTTGAAATAAATCTCAAGGCATTTGACATGGATCTCGAGGTATTTTTTAGCACAAAAAGGTTTGATTCTAAGTATATCAATTAATATGCAATGACATACATGGTGCACATTCTATTAAACCTGGTGACAACACCTGGCTACACATGTTCTCTAGTGTTATATTCATAATACAACAAATATCTTTTCTATATACAGACGAATATTGAACTTATTGTAACAATGTAACCCTTTTCTAATTGCAAGATAAGAGTCTATTTTTTATTTGCAAACTTATAGTGGATTATATTAATTGAGCTAGGCCCTATCATTTTTTCCCTTACCTGCTTTTTCACATAAAAAATTATGGTGACTTTTACTATTCTTTCTTTTTATCTGTGTGTGCATTAGATTGTCGTAGAACACTGATGCATTAAATAATTACTCTACCTCCATGAACTTTTTGGCATGCAACAAATTGACGCCGTATGTGGGTAAATAAGTCTTTTTGATAGAAGTTTATACTTCATGGATGGCTAACAAGCACAACACACACACTCCTCGCTCTAGCATCCATCTTTGAGAGTGCAATCTCAAGATGCCAAGCTTATACTCTGTTTTGCAATTATATACATCATCCTACTAGTGAAAAAACATCTTTTGCATCACTTGAAGATTGTGTACGAAGAATGGATGAACATCGGAATGAGATCCTCCAAATTTTATGTGAAGATTAATAACCAAAGGTTGTGCATATCGAAGGGGCATAACTACCTTGAAATCTATCAACCAAAGGTGCATATGTGGCACCCCCTCAATGTACTGAAATTCCCCTTCATGAAGCTGAACTATTAAACACTGCTAGCTCAACACATCCAACTCCCATCGTGAAGCCTAGCAGCAAGCCTTGAATGTGTGTGAAAAAGATTACTCGGCCTCACGCGTTCTGTGATGAGTTACAATGTATAAGAAGAGTTTCTTATAATTAATAGAAGTTATTTCTCACCTCAACATGGATCTTAGAAGTCCTCTATGTTAGCTGACATTGTTCATCAACACCTTTTTCCAATAGGGTTTAAACTTTTGAGCATGGATGCTTATGATGGGGCTTTTGACACATATGAACATGTGGATCACTTTAGAACTATTATGAACATACAATGAGGTCTTCATGCTTTTTTTTTTGTTAGGCATTTTTGTAACACTTAAAGCCCAAGCTTACACTTGGATTTACTGGCTTATAGAAGGGAGCATCCATACCTTTGACGAGCTTACAAACTTATTTCTAGAGAAATTCATTACAAATCTCACCTCTTTGTGATCAGTTAAAGTGAGGGGGAATCACTGAAGAATTATTTCCTATGATTTTCTATTGAATCTCGTTGAATCCCATGAGTAGATCCATGCACAAATCCAACCCATCATGACACATGGGTGGCACATAAGTTAAATTAAATTATTTTTAAATAAAACCAAACGCAAAATGACAAAAACCACACACTTAGCCATGTCATTTCATAGTTAGCACCTAGGTCATGCCCTCTATTACCAGCCTTTGGTGAGCTAAAACTTGACCAAACCTGGTTATAGCCACCCACCAAAAGCTCTTTCAATCAACCCTAACACATTCCCAAGCCACCTTCATCCCCATTGGTGCCCCCATGACCAACACATGGAAAAATAGAAAAGCTCCTCACCATTACCCAAAACCCTTGAAATTCCTCTTTGAATTCTTTGAGGAGCCGCCTAAGCTTCCCCATGCATAGCCAAGCTCACCACCAAACTTCCATGTCTATAAAAAGCCCAAACCCTAGAGCTTCTACACACGACCAAGCTCTCTACTAAGCCACTTAAACTTCTTGCTCCCAACAACAAAAGTACTTCCCTTGGTCAGAGAAGAACATCCCCACCACCCTCAAGCCTCTCCTAAACTATCAAAACCTAATTTCACCACTTAAACCCTTGCTCCCAACAACAAAAGTACTTCCCTTGATCAGAGAAGAACATCCCCACCACCCTCAAGCCTCCCCTAAACTATCAAAACCTAATTTCACCACTTAAACCTAGGGCCATTTTCAGGGAGGAAGAGAGAGTATATGTTGCCCCCCGCTATGGCCTGTCGCCCTTTGCCCCAAGTAAGTATGTTATATTCAATCTACTTCAAAATAAATAAAAAATATAAAGTCCTACATTTATTTTATAATGAAACAAACAACTTGAAAGTATTTCGAATACATTGTAATTATAATTCTACAACTTTTTTACATTACATTTCATTTTTAGCAAACCAAATGACCCTAATTATATGTGTCTAAGTACATAAGAATTATGTTGCCCGTATAATACATATATATATACCCCAAAATTAAATTGCTAAATTCAATAGTCACATAGATTTATATCATTATTCAAAATTACTCATTAGCTTAAAAAAAATAAGAAAATCCGTCTACAAATTCCCATCCCTCTCAAAACAATCCTCATAAGTCCACAACCAATATTCTAATGCGCGACTAAAAGCCAAAACAAAATATCAATTCAACCAATCATTATAATAACAAACATTAACAATCAGTATAAATACCCACAAATCCGCCTTCCTCTTCTCCTCCTTTCTTCCCCCATCTCCTCTCCCTCCCTAAAACCCTAAACCCCATTGATGAAGCAGACACATCCAAGCAATAATACCAACTAAAATATCTCTCTTCCTCCTCCCTTCCATGGCTTGCTTCAGAGAGATAGAAGGCAAGCGAACCCACGACCCATCTGGCTCCCCTATTCCAGTTTCAGGCCCAATAATCATTGGCGCCGGCCCATCAGGCCTCGCAGTCGCCGCATGTCTGAAAGCTAAAGGAATACCGAGCTTAGTTATAGAGCGCAGCCACTGTATTGCTTCACTATGGCAGCTAAAGTCTTATGACAGACTTCGTCTTCATCTTCCCAAGAGCTTTTGTGAGCTTCCGCTCATGCGTTTTCCGCCCCACTTCCCAACTTATCCAACTAAGGAGCAGTTCCTTTCGCACCTGAAGTCATATGCTGCAAACTTCAATATCCATCCCCTGTTTGGGCAGAGGGTGATCAGCGCAGAGTATGATTCCCGAGGGGTAAGATAATGTTTGTGAAAATTATAATTTTGTTTTTTTGGCAAAAACAATAATTAAAAAAATGTAACTTTTATGAGGATTTATATAATTAGTTGGCAACAAACGTTAATTTTGTAAATGTCACAGATTTTCATTGTTTCAGTTACAATCTTCTTCAAATTTCAGTGCAATTTTTTTTTTTTTTTAAAATAGTAGGAAACATTTGTCGAAAATAGTAGGAAACATTTTTGTCTAACTAGGCATGGAATAATGATTTCAAAAGCAGCATAGATTCACATTATTACAGATCATATTTTTTGTTGCAGTATTGGAGGGTGAGAACAGAGGCAATGGGGAGGAGGAGGGAGTATATGTCGCGGTGGCTGGTGGCGGCAACCGGTGAGAATGCGGAGGAGGTGCTGCCAGATATCGCCGGAATGATGACAGAGTTCAACGGGGAGGTGGTGCACACTAGTGGGTACAGAAGTGGGGAGGTCTATAAGGGAAAGAAGGTGCTTGTTGTTGGCTGTGGAAATTCTGGAATGGAGGTCTCTCTTGATCTCTGCAACTGTGGAGCCCGGCCAGGAATTGTGGTGAGAGATTCGGTGGGTTTTTCTTCTCTAATTCTAACGGCTAAATTTAGGGTTCTTTAAAAGTGGGTTTTTTAATTATGCATTGACTGAATTCTAATTGAATCACCAAAGAACTACAAAACAAAGCTGAAGAAGTAACTTATCTGATCATGGCTCAGATGATAATTCTTATAAAGTGTAAAACTTTAAATGTGGGACTAAAATAATGGCAAGTTGAATTATCATACTCGTTGAAAAATCAGCATAAAAAATCTTTCCATAAAAATCAATGGAAATTCCCTTTAAATAAATAAAAAAAAAACTGTTTTTTTTATGATTTACCAAAAAAATATAGCTTGTTACAAAAATATACTCATCATTTAACTTTTAAGAATTAAAATATATTCTTTATGTTATGTTTATAAAAATTGAAATTTAGGTGTTAGATATATAAATGTATAGTATTTGCACTGCATTTATAAAAAAAAAAAAAGAAAAAAAATCTGGTGAAAAATCTCTCATTTACTTTTTCTCGGGGATTCAACCGCACGCCGGAGAAGGCTTTTTCGCTATTGCTATCTTCTCACCCTCTCATCTTCTGTTTTGCAGTACTGACACTGCTTACTTCAAATCCTGTGGCGTACGATACTCAAAAAAACAAATACCAAGTCTTATCTAGTTATGAAAAATTCGCTTAGAATATTCTCATAACAAATCCATTTGGTCATAAAGATCATATAAAAAGATGTAGCACTCAAATTCTTATATATTTATTGTATCATATGCAGGTTCACATGCTACCCAGGGACATGTTCGGCCAGTCTACTTTTGGTCTGTCAATGTGTTTGCTCAAGTGGTTACCTATTCGAATAATTGATCGTATATTACTATTCATCGCCAGACTCAAACTCGGCGACACGGCCCGACTCGGGCTTCGTCGGCCCAAACTCGGCCCTCTCGAGCTCAAGGGCTTCTCAGGAAAGACACCTGTTCTTGATGTTGGCACGCTGGCCAAGATCAAGTCAGGAGATATTAAGGTTGTAATTGGAGTAATTAATTATATTTCAATGACTACAATGTAATATTATAACCATGATTTTATGTTTAGGCTAAGTAATCTGTATTGATTAGCTTTGTGTTACAGGTTTTTCCTGCTGTAAAACGATTCACAGCGAAAGGGGCAGAGTTTGTTGATGGGAGATCAGAAGACTTTGAAGCTGTGATTTTAGCCACCGGGTACAGAAGTAATTTGCCCATTTGGTTAAAGGTAATTTGCCATTCAACCATTCTTTTGTATTAGATTTGGATGATATAAATGTAAAAAAGTAAATTTTAAGTGATAAATCTGTAAATATGTATAAGAATTACATGGGGTATGTATGTAAATGTCCCCCACCTATTTTTTATCATTTCAATAAGCTTTTCTTTTCTTTTCCTCTATTATTCTATTATGACATGCATTAAAGAATTTCTATCTTTTAAAGTCAAATCATATGATGTTTTGCTTAGAGGCAAAAGAGAGAGTTTATTGTTGCCCATTATTCCAAAGTTATATCTATATAAATATAATAAACGAAGTGAAAGAAACCAACAAGAGGATTGAAGAACACAAGAGATTTAATTATGTTCGGCAATGTGCCTACGAGAGCAGAGCGGCGGTTTCTATTCCAGAAGAAAAAATATGGTTCCATTGTATTACATATATTATATATAAATATAACCCATAATAATATTACAAAAATACCCATGTAACGTATTGTGGGCGTGTTGCCCCCGCACCCCCAACCCACTTAAGGAAACTCCCCCATTTGGACAAATACTTCCTCTGTGCTCTGCTCAGCTTGCGAGCTCTGCTTCGCTCGCTTGCCGTGAGCGCTTGCTCCGCTCTAGCATCTGTCCCTTATGAGTCATATGAGTTATACTTAACAATAAATATAATTTCTGTATTTATTGCAGGAAAAGGATTTCTTCTCAGAGGAAGATGGTTTGCCTGTGAGGCCGTTTCCCAATGGATGGAAGGGAGAGAGAGGGCTGTATGCAGTTGGTTTTACAAAGAAAGGCTTGCTCGGTGCTTCCATGGACGCCACAAGAATAGCTCTGCACATTGAGCGATGCTGGAAGTTAGAGGCCACGCAATGAATAATATTATAATAGCAGCTTCTGCACCAGAATATGACCGGCGAAGTTGCATGCACAACTTGTATATTTTTCAGCTTATTTTTAATTTGTTAGGGTATAGATGGAGATCAGATCTTATGCCCAGGAGTGATGAGTTTGATAGATTTGATTTGTTTGTTTGTTTGTTTTCCATTTTTTAAAGCTTTTCTTCCTGACTGATGTAGCTTCTTCTGAGCTTGGGCCATGAGAAAGTACAGAGTTTGATATGTTCTTATTTCTTGTGACTGAAGTTATAAAATAAATATATTTGTGAAGAATGACGACAAGAGAAAAAAATAAATGATAAGATTAAATATTTAGTTGTATTAATACGAAGATCATTCTGGAAATCTTTCATATGATTCATAATCTAGAAAAGTTGACAATTAAATTTTCTAGCTAAACATAATTAACTTGATCCATTTTTAACATGCAAATGTACTGGCTTTTAGGGTGAGCCTTAAAATAGAATTTATTAGTAGGTTGATATATTTTATTATAGTGCTAACCTCTTGTTATGAAAGTGTTGAGAAAATTAGGGGCGCATAAAAACAGTAATCGACACAAATCCAGAAGAACACAGAGATTTAACGAGGTTCGGCAAAGATGCCTACATCCTCGAGAGCAGAGCGGCGAGTTCCTTTCAATATTCAGAAAATATATTACAGAATAGAGGGATACCTCATAGGGTTACCAACAGGCCTATTTATAATCTCATGAGTAAACCCTAGACACAATATGTAATTACAACATTACCCCTGTACCATACCGCGGGACTTTGCTCCCGCACCCCAACCCACGTAACTTCTCGATTTGGACAGATTCTTCCGCTCCACTCTAGCGTCTGCCCCTATATGGTATATGAGTCATACCATAACAAATCTCCACCTTGGCGAATATCCAGCCCCTTAGGAGAAAAATACCTGGGAGTTACACATGCACCACTATGGGTTGGGTCACCATGCTTCTCTAGCAACTGCAAACATTCAACAAGTCCAAGCAATGCAAGAACTTGTTAATAGTAACTAGCTTGGTCAACATATCAGCTGCATTCTCATCAGTATGAACATTCTGTAACAGTATCTCCCCAGAAGCAATCAACTCTCTGATCTTGTGATACCTGACATCAATGTGTTTGGTTCTCGCATGGTACACCTGATTCTTAGCCAAATAAATAGCGCTCTGACTGTCACAATGCAACTGAACTCCACCGTGCTCAACGCCCAGTTCTTTTACTAGCCCAACAAGTCATAAGGCTTCTTTAGCAGCTTCAGCTACTGCCATGTACTCAACTTCAGTTGTAGATAATGCCACAATAGACTGAATTGTTGATTTCCAACATATGGGTCCTCCGCCAAGAGTAAACACATACCCAGTTGTAGACCTTCTGCCATCCAAATCACCTGCGTAGTTTGAATCAACGTACCTCACAACTGAAGAATCATTCTGCTGACTGCCAAAAATAATTTCATGTCCTACAGTACCCTTCAGATACCTGAAAATCCACTTGACTGCTTCTCAATGTCGCCTTCCAGGTTTAACCATGTATTTGTAGACTTGACTAACAACATGAGTCAAATCAGGACGGTACATACCATAACATACATCAAGCAGCCAATTGCACTGGCATATGGAACATTTGTCATGTCTTCAATTTCTGTATCAGTCTTAGGACACTGTTCTGAAGAAAGCTTAAAATGATTT